AAAAGGACCATATCTGTCTTTTTATTAATTTGTTGTTTGTGTTTTCATTTGTCTTCTCCACGGCTTTCTTCAACGTTTGCGCGGGGTTTCCTCTTATCCCCTCTTTGTCCATTTGTTTACAACGTTTGACAGCTATTCGTCGTCTATATTCTCACCTTTTTGAGTTCCAATGGTTCTAGCTTGTTGTATTTTGGCATGTTTCTGGAGGTCGTGACCTTGTTTGTCTTGTGAAACTATTTTGAAATCCTATGTAAATAATACCTTTATCACAAAACGAAACTAACTTAGCTTTATAGCAAGACACGAAGGCGTTGTTTGATAACCTATATTATGTTTCTCTCGCTTGAGAAGTCCAAATTATGTGGAAAAACTAGCGTGAAAAATTTCGCTAAGTCAAAATAGAGTCCGGACACTAATATATAAGATATGTAAGCAAGCAAACTGCTTAGATTTGTGTCTTCTTGAGAATGGCTTGTTGCCCGACGGAAGAAAAGTATGGCTACGACGATAGTCGTTTTGAGAAAGCTGTCGATGCCCACTTTCATTGCTCTATCTGCTACAATGTTCTGAAGGAACCAATGATGTGTAGAAATAATGAACACATATTTTGTCGTGGCTGTATCACTGAACATTTAACTGTGAACTCGCATACTTGTCCAGAATGCAACGAGGACTTGACTGTCGAAACCCTTCGTAAAGCGCGTCTGGTGAGCAATATTTTATCTGAACTCAAGATAAAGTGCGATTATTCTAACCGAGGTTGTCATGAGTTCATTCGTCTGGAAGAGCTGGATTCTCACGTCGAGAACTGCGGTTTTGCGCCGGTGAAATGCTCAAATGAGGAATGTCAACTCGTGGTTGATAAGCGAGAGTTAATTCATCATGAGAGCACAGTATGCGAGTACAGGAAAGCCAAATGTCATAACTGTATGAAGATCGAGCAAGATGTGGACGGAATGAAGAAGCAAATGCAAGGCCTCGCATCTAAAGAAGATGTAAAGGCACTTATGGAAAAATTAAGCTTCCTTGAAAACACCATTCAAATTTCATCTGCAATCAACCACGCATCGAATGCCTTAATGGAGGATATCTTGGTAGCTGGGGGCTGGGACAGTGATGGTAATGTTTTAAAATCTGTTGAGAGATTTTCGTGGAAGAAGAATGTGTGGGAAAGAGTGTCCTCAATGAACGTTGGTCGTAAAGGAGCAACGTCGTTTATTCGTGGGAATCAAGTATTTATCGTTGGCGGATGCTGTGGTGTTATTGAGGTGCTCGATTTGAACGGAGATCTGCTGGAGTGGGGTATACTTAAGGTCACTTTGGTTCACCAATGCGAACGTCTCCGCTCCGTCGTTTATCAGAACCGTGCAGTTCTGTTTTGCGCATGCGGTGCGACTGATTATTGTGCAAAACTTAGTCTTACTGCACCTTACACATGTAAGCAGTTGTGTAAAATGCCTGAACCGGCAAGAAGAGATTACACTGTGGTTGCATTTGAGCACAAAGTCTTCATTTTTGGAGGACGGTATGCTATCAATTTTGATCTTCTTCATAGCGTTTTAGAGTTTGATACTAACACGCGTGAATTTAAAGCGATGCCTCCATTGCCCTGTGCCTTATATAGTACGACAGGTGTTCGTTGGGGGGATCAAGCAATTTTGGTTGGAGGCTCGGATAATGATGGCCAATCAAAAAAAGTTTTCATGTACGATTCCAAAACAGGAAACACCACTGAATTGCCATCTATGTTAGAAGAAAGAGCTGGATGCTGTGCTGTTATTACAGGCAATACAATTGTTGTGATGGGTGGACGGGGAAAGACGACTGGTCGTGTTAGATCTGTTGAAACTTTCACTTTGGGAGGTTATACCTGGAGATATCTTCCTGCCATGAATGAAATTAGAAGTGGCGCCACTGCTAATCTTTTACCAACGAAAAACATTCATTGATGTGTATTTGTGGCAATATATGCTAGAGACAAACAGAAGTCACAGAATGCAACTTTTGTATGATGGTACTAACTAGAGCTTGATGCTGTATATTCAAAACAATTCCACATAGCCGTAGGTTATTGTGAGTGTCGCAAACTGTCCTTATTATATCATTTAGCACTGTTTTAATTAGATTAAATTTTAGATTAATTAGAATAATAACATTACAACTATGATTGCATGGACATAATAAGGGACCAGTCATAAAGTATAGGGGGCTGGAGAAATCAAATTTTCAACTGTATATTTTTCCTTGGCCCACCCCTGGAAGAAGGCTTAATTATCAATGGCCCACCCTTAAAGTCATGCACAAAAATTAATGACCCATCCGGGAAACTCATGGATCTATTTTTTACATGTTTCTAATTCAGTTTTATACATCACTGATTTATTGCTTGGAAAACACCAAACGTTACATACGACTTTTTTATAATAAAGTAAAATCCAATCCTACGGAGTGTAATTGTTAATTTAACCCTTACAGATCACGTATTGCCAAACGTCCCTATCCCTGTCATTTAAGCTCCCTTCACCATTTAGGATGCAATCACCTACAGTCACATGATCACACTACGATAGATCCTACTCCACCCTTACCATCACAATCACTTAAACTCACTGTACTATCGAGTAAGCTAGCTCTAAAAGGACCTGTCATTTGCTCTACTTCAAAATTAATTTATCATTAAGTCTGTTTTCTTTGATATCACCTTCAATATTAATTAGCTGGAAAGATGAAGGAAAACTCAGAAAATGGTCGTTCAAAGCAGACAAAAGTTTGTTGGAAAACTTCCTTAATGATGAATTAAATATGATAAACACCTCGAAAGTCGGGATTTATGTCAGATAATATCAAGATAATGTCATTATCTGACATAAATCCCTCTTTCTTGGTGTTTATCCTATACTTAACTGAAAAGATAAACAATAATGAAATGTCCCGCACCAACAAGACCTTTGGTAGGATAACTTGACTAATAACATGTAGTAGTTATATCAGTTTTATCTTTCCACCTTTCATTTTTGTTAATACTGGGTAATTGGTTATTTTCAATAACTTCGTAATAATTTTTTTCTCTTGGTCTCACATTATTATCCGAACTCCTTCCTTCTCCTCCGCAAATTTTACCTACAATCCCCTTAAAAAACCCTGCTGAAGAAGACTGTTAGATTGAAACGCGTACATGGGTTGCCTTTCCTACTCATTTTCAATCTCTCGCCTTTTATATCATGTCCCACAAAATATTTCACCTTTTTTAGTTCCTATAATCGTAGTTTCCATAGTTTACATTTATTGACATATATGTTCACCATAGGAGCCGAAGTATATAACAACCATTTTGAATACTGGTCCTCTAATTATTTCCTTCATTAAAACTTACGAACAAGTTAGTACACTGCGTTCATATATACATTAAAGTTTGTGTAATATGAAAAGTTTAGGTTGGTCATGCATTGTCAGGATGTTAGCTAGCCCATATACTGTCCGTTTGACGGACTCTTCCCAATTGAAGTAGCTAAAGGGCTCTCCCAACTGGGTCTACTGGAAGAATTTCATTTTTTTATGAGAAAGTGCATTGCATTTGATTTTATATTATACTATTATATCAAAGAATGTTTTATTTACTTTTTCCCATTAACTATTTTCTCAAAATGTATCGCGTTTCATTCATATTGGGTATGTATTCACTGAAATGAAATGTACAACACAAAGTGTAATCGGTGTGCATCCGTGTTCATTTACCGGAAATGAAATATACAAAACGAAGTGCCATCGGGTGCATTTTTCAGTGTTCATTCACCGGAAATGAAATATACAAAACGAAGTGCCATCGGGTGCATTTTTCAGTGTTCATTCACCGGAAATGAAATGTACAAAACCAAGCTACCGTTGTTTGCATCTAAGGAGAAACACGTTGGAAAAAAACACTATTTATTCCTACACAAGGACTTAGATTGGTAAAAAAAGAACTTTCCCAATTTACGTTTAACGGACAAAACTTTTTTCTGGCTAACACCCTGACAATGTGAGCTTGAATAATCCTTAACAGTTAGCCCATTGAGTTGCATTGCGCCCTGATGCACCCCACTTTATTATTTTACTCTGTCTAATGCCAGATTATTTTACTCTGTCTAACGGCAGACCATTTTTCTGACCAAGGGGAAAGCGTTAATTGTCGCTTATGGGTTTATTAACAGTGTAAATTGAAACATATTCACACATGACCCACCCCAAATGTAACGCACAATTTTCTCTGGCCCACCCTTTTTTGCAAGCATGAAAATGGTGCCCCCGCCCCCTATACTTTATGACTGGTCCCTAATCAATAATAAAATTACATACGAATATAGACAACTATGGTAGGTAGGTTTATTAAAAAAAAATACATCGTAGCCTTAGCACATGGCTGAATTACGTAATTTACACATTTGAATATTCCATTTGATTATAATAACATATCAATAAGGATTATAGTATATACTCCAATATAAGAAGTAATTTAAAAATTGTAAAACGTTTCAAAACTACATGCTACTCTATTAAGAAAAATAGTAAAAGAACTGAAGAATTGTCGCTTTAATAATGATCACTATATAACTCTACTTTTGTGTCCTATTCGTTTCGGTTGCGGAAGACAGTATATAAGTTGCTTGTGATGCTACTCTGAGTTTATATCCACACCGGGCAAGCTTGGAAAATATGCCTGTCCACGGTGGGAATCGAACCTACGACCTTTGGAATACTAGCCCAATGCTCTGCCAACTGAGCTACGCGGTCTGGTCGGTTCGAGTATGTGATATTTCGGAACAGAATCTAGTTCCTTCGATACCAATGTAATCTAATAATAATCACGATTTTTCTGTGTTGGTGTAATGTACTCAGGTGAATATGATGCTTGTGATGTTACTCTGAGTGTATATCCACACCGGGCAAGCGTATTTTTATTATTAATAAAACAGTCTTCTCATTTACTCGTTACCCTTGTGGATGCTCCAGAAAATTCCAGAAATGCTGTCATTAATTGAGCATCGATCAAAAATATAAACGTTTTCTGGGTGAGGACTCCAGACCCACCTATTTTCCTCACAAATCACTTACGTGCTGGGGTAATGGAAAAGAAGGTAAAATTGGGGCGAGCAAAGCTCCCCAAAAGAGATTAGAGTGGGAGAACCTATAATATTCTTTGCTGCCTCAAATGCAAATTTAAGGTTGTTATATATTGAATATCCATGCTTTCCAGTTACATGTTTTGAAACAGTTTTTGTGAGTGGTTGGGTAAAACAAATCTTTGCCAGAACTAAAGAGCCTCTAAATCGAGTTTGTCTGGCCTTTCTCCAATTCTCCCACCCAACCACACCATTATTCTGTCACCTATATGTAGGTAAAAAATCCTTCGACCCCCGTCGTTGCCTTCGTAACATCCCTATATGTGCAGTTCTAAATTTTTCTTAAAATAAACCCTGTCATGAATTATTAATGAGTTTGAGATCAAATTGTCAGAACCATCCTCAGGGATATGGAAAAATTAGATTCCTATTATTCTGCAGACTACAACGAAAAATTCGTTGTCTCGAGCGACAATTGAACCCGCATAATATGAAACTAATTTTTCATATCTCCGAGGATGCTTCAGAAATAGAATTGAAACACTGCTCGTCCTCCAAGACAAAATTTGACGTGCACTTAAATCGATTAGGACCAGTGAGCTCTATATATATATCTATATATATATATATCTATATCTATATATCTATCTATCTATATATATATATATATATATATATATATATATATAT